ATGTTATATTTTCAATTTAGCTCTACTACATTCATATTTAATGATTAAATAATTTGTGCTAACTAATTAATTGATTATTTATTTACTTATTTTTTTAATGTTATATTTAAATTTAACAAAATTATTGATCGGTTATTGTCGTTTTGTTTGCAATTTTACGCTAATTTCGTTAAAAAAAAAGAAAAAATTTTAATCTAAAATGAAATTTTTTTCATATTGCAGATAAGAATAATAAAAGTGTAATTAATCAACAAAACAAAACAAAAACAAAAACAAAACAAAGAGAGAAGAAAGAAAGAAAAGAAAAGTAAACAAATAACAATTCTTTAAATGACTGACAATGAGCGCAATTTGTCAACAACTGAAATTCGTTCATATATGGATAAAATTCGTGGTATTAATCAATCGGTATCAACTGGTGATAATATAACGGTACCTGATACCAATATAAATGCTACCGGAAGTACCACAAAACGACGACAATATCAACGAAAACGAAAAGAAGGAACAATTGAAGATCCAAAAGTGCCAACACCGCCAATAATGCATACAGTAGTTAAATCTACGACGAGAAAGAAGTTAGTTTTTTTTTAAAAATTTTAATCATTAAAAAATTTTTCATTGTTATAAAATTATCAAAATTATCAGTCACATTATAAATATCAAAAAAAAAAAAAGAAAAGAAATATATATGTATAATCTAAGGTATATGTAAGTAGCTAAAATAATTGCTCTCATTTAAAAAAATATATTTATTTCGAATTTTTGATTTATACGGTTCAAATTATTATCGAATTTCTTTTCTTTAATAATTAAATTTTGGTTATCGTTTTTTTGTTTTTAAAATGTTTAACAAATATATAAAGTATCATAGTATAAAACTAAAAAAATGATGTTTGATTCAATACAAAAATAATGAGGAAGAAGAAAAATGAGAAAATATTTTGTGTAAAATAATTTTTATAAAAATTTAAGAAAATTATTCTTCCTGGATCAAATCAAAAATCACATTCAATATAGTTTGTTACTTAAATACTTAAATATTTATTTATATAAACCATAATGCAAGAAGAAAAAAAAAAAGGTAAAGAAATTAAAGAATAAGTTAAAAGAGAGTTATATCAATTGATAATTTCATCTCATTCGAATATCTTTTTTTTTTCAAATTTTTTTAAAAGTGAAAAAAAAAAAGAGAAATCAATCATAAAAGTAAAAAATTTTACTTATTATTTGACATATTTACTTAATGTAAAAAAAAAAAAGCATTTTTTCTTTTTCTAATGTATTATTGTTATCATCAAACTTTTATTAGAAAATAAATGAAATGTAAAAAAAAAATCACTGCTAAATTTAGTGCATGTTAAGTGCAATGCATGCAAATTTGCATGCACGAATAGAATGCATTTATTATTATCATTTTAAATTGAAATAAAATATAAATGTTTTAAAACCAGTTTTATACATTTTATTTACAATATTTTATTGCTTTATGTAGAATTGGTAAATGAATTAGCTAAATTAATTATTTAGAAAAGTTAATGGATCTAATTTTTGGACAATTTTTTTAACTCTTTTTTGCTTTTTTTTTTTTTGATCAGTCAATTTTGTACCATTTTGGTTCCAATATGTCACATTGATCGCTCTTACATTTTATTTTATCTTTTTAAATGTCATTCTGCTATGACATTCTGTTTATGGGTTTTTTTTTTTTTTTGCTTCTTCCTCACTTTTTTTTTTCTTGTCTCTTTTCAAAATAAAGTTTTAATAATAATAATAATAATAATAATGAATAAATGTGATAATGATAGTATTTATAATGGTAGTAATAATGATAATAATAATAATAATAAATAAATAATAGCGGCGATGATAATATTTATAGCAATGCTAATGATAATAATAATAATAATAATAATAGTAAATAAATAATGATTAAAATGATGATATTTATAATGATAATGATAACAAATAAATGTAACATGATGTTTATAATCATGATAATGATAGTGATAATAATAATGATAAATAAATAATAGTAACAACAATAATAATAATAATAAATGATGATAATAGTAATAATTATGATAAATAAATACAACGATGATGATGTTTATAATAATGTTAATGATAGTAATAATAATAATAATAAATAATAGGAAATGATGGTGATGATAATAATAATAATAATTAATAATGATGGTGATGATAATAATAATAATAAATAAATAATAATGATGGTGATGATAATAATAATAATAATAATAAATAATAATGATGGTGATGATAATAATAATAAATAAATAAATAATAGGAAATGATGGTGATGATAATAATAATAATAATAATAATAATAATAATAATAATAATAATAATAATAAATAAATAATAGGAAATGATGGTGATGATAATAATAGTAATAAATAAATAATAGGAAATGATGATGATAATAATAGTAATAAATATAATGAAATATATGATAATAATAATATAAATAAATAATAGGAAATGATGGTGATGACAATAATAATAATAAATAAATAATAAATGATGATGATAATAATAATAATAATAAATAATAGGAAATGATGGTGATGATAATAATAATAATAAATAAATAATAGGAAATGATATGATGATAATAATAATAATAATAAATAATAGGAAATGATGGTGATGATAATAATAATAAATAAATAAATAATAGGAAATGATGGTGATGATAATAATAATAATAAATAAATAATAATGATGATGATAATAATAATAATAATAAATAATAGGAAATGATGGTGATGATAATAATAATAAATAAATAAATAATAGGAAATGATGGTGATGATAATAATAATAATAATAAATAAATAATAGGAAATGATGGTGATGATAATAATAGTAATAAATAAATAATAGGAAATGATGGTGATGATAATAATAATAATAAATAAATAATAGGAAATGATGGTGATGATAATAATAATAATAAATAAATAATAGGAAATGATGGTATGATAATAATAATAATAAATAAATAATAGGAAATGATGGTGATGATAATAATAGTAATAAATAAATAATAGGAAATGATGGTGATGATAATAATAATAATAAATAAATAATAGGAAATGATGGTGATGATAATAATAGTAATAAATAAATAATAGGAAATGATGGTGATGATAATAATAATAATAATAAATAATAGGAAATGATGGTGATGATAATAATAGTAATAAATAAATAATATATGATGATAATAATAGTAATAAATAAATAATAGGAAATGATGGTGATGATAATAATAATAATAAATAAATAATAGGAAATGATGGTGATGATAATAATAATAATAATAAATAATAGGAAATGATGGTGATGATAATAGTAATAAATAAATAATGAAATGATGATGATAATAATAATAATAATAAATGATGATGATGATGATATTATTGATAGATCATAAATTGCATTCGCATTTATCTTTATTGATGCTTTTTTTTGCATCCAACGAATCATATTTTCATTTTAAAATTTTCACTGCAAAGTCATTTTTATTATTGATAAGAGCAGAAATCATAAAATGAACAGATGCAAACAAATGTCCCAAACGAACAAATGCGCCTTTTTGAATGAGCGAACATTCACATCAAAAAGAGGAAAGAATGAAAAGGAAAATCAACAATAGTTTAGAGGATAGTTTAGTTTTTCTTCTCTTCAAATTTCGTTTTGAAATCCAACAAAAATTGAAATGTAAAAATGTTTGAAAATGTTTGTTTATGGCAAGTTGATGCTTCATTTTTTTCGTTCTTAACATAAATAAATACATGTGCTATTCATTCTTTATTTATCGAAAGAAAAGTAAAATAAAGTAAAGTAAAGTTAACTATTAAAAGTGTTTGAAAATGTTTGTTTATGGCAAGCTGATGCTTCATTTTTTCGTTCTTAACATAAATAAATACATGTGCTATTCATTCTTTATTTATTATCTAGAGAGAGAGAGGGAGAGAGGGAGAGAGAGGGGGAGAGAGGGGGAGAGGGAGAAAGAAAAGTAAAATAAAGTAAAGTAAAGTTAACTATTAAAAGTGTTTGAAAATGTTTGTTTATGGCAAGCTGATGCTTCATTTTTTCGTTCTTAACATAAATAAATACATGTGCTATTCATTCTTTTTTTATTATCTAGAGAGAGAGGGAGAGAGGGAGAGAGAGAGAGGGAGAAAGAAAAGTAAAATAAAGTAAAGTAAGTTAACTATTAAAAGAAAAGTTTAGCAAAGATGAGTTAACATAAATAAATAAGATTCATTCTTTATTTATTATGTAGAGAGAGAGAGAGAGAGAGAAGGGAGAGGGAGAAAGAAAAGTAAAGTAAAGTAAAGTAAAGTTAACTATTAGCAAACTATTGTTTTTAATCACATTCAATAAATTAATGAAATAAAAATGTTTATAACTGATTTTAAATTGTTTACTTCAATAATATTTTCTATAGCTGCTTATATATATTTATATGTTCTTTTTTCTTTTTTTTTATATTAAATTTAAATTTCATAAATTGTTTCTTTTCTATTTTTTTTTTTTTTTTTGAATTGCAAATAAATTTATAACTAACTTTGATCGATAATAAAAGAGAAAGCAAAAAAAGCAAAAAAAAAAAAAATAAAATAAAATTATTTGATTAATAATAATCTTTTGAATGAATGAAAATTTTTGATTTTTTTTTTTAAATATTTATTCAGTTAATTTTAACAAATATTTGATTGAAAATTGAGAAAATAATGTATTGATGAGTTGGTATAAATTTTTAATCGAACAATAATGATCGCCGATCTTTAGCAGATCAAATGAATGAATTGGAGAACAGTCATATATGATTGTGTTTGTGTCTGTTTAGATGGTAACATACACATACATTAGTAGTAGACTACAATTTAAATGATTTAAAATCTCGACTAAAATTTAATCTCGAGTAAAATGTGCTTAATCATGCTTATAATACAAATTGCATCATGGATTCAGATGGAAGAGAGGAGGATGATGATGGATTCAGATGGAAGATAGATGGATGGGATTGGATTCAGATGAAAGATAGATGGATGAGATTAGATTCAGATGAAGATAGATGGATGGGATTGAATTCAGATGGAAGGGAGAGGGATGATAATGGATTCAGATGGAAGATGGATGAGATTGGATTCAGATGGAAGATGGATGGGATTGGATTCAGATGAAAGATAGATGGATGAATTGAATTCAGATGGAAGGAGAGGGATGATAATGGATTCAGATGGAAGATGGATGGATGGGATTGGATTCAGATGAAAGGGAGAGGGATGAGATTGGATTCAGATGAAAGATAGATGGATGAAATTGGATTCAGATGATAGATGGATTGATAGGATTAGATTCAGATGGAAGATGGATTGATGAAATTGGATTCAGATGATAGATAATGATGGATTAGATTCAGATGAAAGATGATGGATGATTGGATTCAAATGGAAGATGGATGGATGAAATTGGATCAGATGATAGATGGATTGATAGGATTAGATTCAGATGGAAGATGGATGGATGGGATTGGATTCAGATGAAAGGGAGAGATGATAATGGATTCAGATGGAAGAAAAAGTAAAATTAATAACTAATAAAAATTTTAAATTTTCCCAAAAATGTAAAATGGGACAAAAACGAAAAAAAGAAAAAAAAGAAGATTAAATAATCGTTGCTCCAAAGCATTTTTATATTATTTGCGTAGCTTTTGTAGACATTTTTTTTTTGGTAAAATAATTCTCAATTTAAACTCACTAAATTAACAATTAAAAATAATGAAATCAATTTTTAACATACATTTATTTTTTTTATATAAATAAAAATTTTAAATTTAAAAATGAAAAACTAGCATTGATACTTTAGATATTCACTAAGATATGGTTAATATTTATTTTATATTGAAATAAAATAAAAAAAAAAAAAAAATATATGAATTTGAGCAAGAAAAATGATTGATAACTTTTCTTTCCTTTCCTTTTTTTTTTATGAGTTATTTATAAGTTTTGATTGGATGAAAAATTTTTTCACTTTTATTTCTCTCTTATTTTCTTTCTTTTTTTTTTTTTCATATTTCAGCAACTTTTAACAATTTTTCAATCATCAATTCAAAAATTTTAAAAGTTAATTACAATATTTTATTATTTTAATATTTTTTTCAAAAAAAACTTTTTCATCTTCATTTAATTTTAAATAATAATTGCTATATTTTGTCATTTTGTAGTGTGTAATTAAACTTTTTTTTCAGTTCATCGAAAAGTTAAATTTATCAATTTGTTTCATTTCAGTTTTTTTTTTTTAATTTTTTTTTAATTTTTTTTTGGTTATTTACCCGAAAGGGATTTACCCACATAATAATATTTTAGATTTTTCAAAAATGTTAAATTATTATTTTTTTAGTAAAATGTAAATTAAAAAATTAGGATGATTAATATATAATATATATACATATATATTAATAAGATAATATATAAATAAATTATTTAAAAATGATTTTTAGAGATTTCTAAAATTTCTAAAAATTTTGAAAAAAAAATTTTAGAGTGACTTAAAATTACTTTAAAATAATCAAAATTACACTGATAATCCGTATGGAAAGGTTTTAAATTTAAATGAACAATCTGTTTCATTGCTATTTAATTATTTTATTTTATTTATTTTATTTTTTCTCTCCTATTTTTTTCTCTTTCCCTTTCTCTCTCTCTCTCTCTTTGTTTTTTTATGGCGAATTTGTTGAAATACAGTTTGATTCATTACAGAAAAGTTTATTTTACAATAATTTTTTTTTGTTAATTTATTCATTTTAATTAATTTAAAATTATATTATATAAATAAATTAAATATTTAATTTAATATTAAATAATTATTCTTTTACAAATTGTTATATTTAATTTCATTTACAAATAGTTGCAAAAATGTTTGAGACGAAAAATTTTTTTTTTGTGTCAAACATTTTCATTAAATTAAAATTATTTGATTGAATATTTCATTGTTCTTTTCTTTTTGTACCATTCTTTATCACAATTTCTTTCATGATAAATATAATTTGAAAAAGACTTAAAAGAGATTAAAATGTTTTCAAAAAAAAAAAAATTAAACGAAAATTGCGTCTTCGCGTTTTTAAAATATACTACGACGGTAAACTAATTATTTAATTAAACTATAACATTATTTTTTTAATTAATTAAATATACTAATTATTTTAATTAATTAAAGTATACATATACTTGTTATTTTAATTAATTAAACTATATACTAATCATTTTAATTAATTGAACTATACCGATCATTTTTTTAATTAATTGAATATACTAATTATTTTAATTAATTAAACTATATATATACTTGTTATTTTAATTCATATTAATTAATCATATTAATCCAAATTTTTTCTCTCTTAATTTTTTTATTTTAATTAATTAAGCTTATATGATATACTAACTATTTTAATTAATTAAGCTATATGATGTACTAACTATTTTATTAATTAAACTATACATATACTAATTATTTTAATTAATTAAACTTATATATATCCTTGTTATTTTAATTCATATTTAATTAATTATGTTAATCCGATTTTCTCTTTAATCTCCTTTTCTATTTTAATTAATTAAACTATGCATATATATACTAATTATTTTAATTTGTATTTAATTAATTATATTAAATGTTTACCATTAAATTAAATTAGAAGGCTTTAATTTGTTTACTGATGTTCAATTTGTTTATTTCATAAATTAATCAAATGTTTATTTTCATTATCAAAATTAGCACTACTATTTTTCATAAATTTTAACTATATTTAAATTTTAAAATATCTCATACATCGTATAGAATATTTTTTATTTTTTTTTTTTTTTGATGATTAATTATAATAGAATGTTATCAGTAACATTGTTATCATTTTAATTGTTATCTTTTAAAATTGTTATTTTTGATATAGAAAACTATATTCCTTATCTTTTTTCATAAATTCTTTTCTTTTTTTTTTTTTTAAAAAGAAATCGATCATTTCCATATTTATCTCAAAAGATGATAAAAACAAAGGTTAGTGATATGATAATTTATTTTTTATAATTTTATTATATCATTCTGATAAAAAAAATATGATAAGCAGTTATAATCTTTTTGAAAATTTATCAAATTAATCTAATCGATATAATGTAACTTAATACAATCTAAAAAATAACCTATAATTTTTTTAAAATTTATAATTTAAAAATTTAAATTTTAATAATTTATAATTTTAAATTACTAAAATTAAAAATTATTTTATATTTTTTCAATCAAAAATTTGAATTTTTCTCTCTCAAATTTAAACAAATTTAAATTTAATTAAAAATTTTTTTGTTTCTCAATATTATAAATAAAAATTTTATTTTCTCCAAAAAATATGATAGTATTTTTCTTTTTTTTTATTTTTTATTATTATTTCCATTTCGTATTACAAAATTTTGTGCTTATCTGACTGTGATCCTTCAAGTATTTAAGTATTTAAGTATTAATTACTTTTAATTACAATTAACTTTTTGTTTTTCTTTTTATTCTTTGCTTAAATTTATTTTTATTTCTAATACTTTTTTCTTCTTTTTTTTTTCATTTTTAATAATTTTTTTTTGTTCTTTTTTTTCTTAAATTTTAAAAAATTTTTGATTTCTTTTCTTTTCTTCATATTAATTCTTTTAATTCAAATATTAAATTAAATGTAATGTTAAGTAATTTTTACATGCCAATTTCATCTTTAATACTAAATTACAATTACTTTAATTAAAAAAAAAAAGTGAAAAATGAAAAAGTTAAAAGTAATTTTATTTTTCTTCTTTTTTTTAAGTTCCAAAAATAAAATAAAATAAAATCTTATATTTTTTGCTAAATTTATTGAAATTTTTATTTTAAATACTATCATTTTTAATATGATAATAACTAAATTAAATTCATTTTATTCTAAATTTTTCATTTTTTTTTTCAAATTTTTTTTTATATGAAATTATTAATTAAATGTAAAAAATTAATTTCTATATTTGAACTAATAAAAATTTGCTTTTTTATTTAAAATATAATTATTAAATAATAATAAATCATACAATTTTTTTTTTAGCATAAATTTCTTAATTTCTGTTCATTTCAATAATTAAAATACAAAAATTTAAAATTTTTGGAAAAATACAAATTTATAATTTAAGAATCGGTAAGATGAAAAGAAATGAAAAGCAAAAAAAATAAAATAAATTCAACAAATTTGTAATTAAAATAAAAAAAACATTTGCTAATTATTTATTTATGTTTACTTATCATATAGTAAATGAAAAGTTACTTTCAATTGATAAGTGAGTAATTTCAAAAGTTAAAAGTATAATTAAATCGATTGATCAGTTATCAATTATCAGTATCAGTTAATCAGTGATTGTTGCATCATTAAAAGCTAATTTTTTCATAGCTGCTAAATAAATGAAAAATTATCGATGCAAATTTCACATTGATTATATTTTTATATTATTTAACATTTTTTAAAATTAATCGGTAAGATGAAAAGAAATTATTAAAAAACAAACAAAAAAAAATGAATTCAACAAATTCAATATTTGAGAATGAAATGATCAATGAGAAAATTGTCATTTAAAAGTAAATTTTGTATGTGACAATAAACGATAAACATTTTAGTGATAAATTTTAAAAGTATTTTAACAATTTGAATTTAAATAAACAAAGAAAAAAAGATGGTAAAGGTCATTGAGTAGCCATTGGTCAACAAAAATTCATATTTTTCTCAAAAAAAAATACAAAAACGAAATAAAATAAAACTTTTGAAATTTAGGATAAAATAGTTTTTGAGAAATTCATTATATTATAAAATTATTATTATTATTTAAGAGTAAACAACCCTAAAAATACTTTCTCAATTTGAATTTAAATTAAACAAAGAAAAAAAGATGACAAAGGTCATTGAGTAGCCATTGGTCAACAAAAATTCATATTTTCTCAAAAAAAAAAAAATACAAAACGAAATAAATAAAAAACTTTTGAAATTTAGGAGAAAATAGTTTTGAGAAATTCATTATATTATAAAATTATTATTATTATTTAAGAGTAAACAAAATTATTTTTTATTATATTTAAATTTTATTACTTATTATAATTTCCAGTTGAATTAAAAAAAATAAATGAAAAAAGAAAATGA